TGTGTAGGTCACTGGAGTGTGTCTGTTCTTCACTCAGACAGGACGTGGTTAAAGACGCCATTGATTCGGGGCCTCAGGCTCACTCAGGCCAGGCAGAGGTAGGGGTATGGATTGTGGGGCAAGCCTGCGGCGCTTCTGCCAATTTTTTGATTGGGTTGTTTGATATTGGGTTGTATGAGCTGTTTGTATATTTTGGATTAATATCTCTTGTCAGTTGCATCTTTTGCAAAGATTTTTTCCCATTCTGTAGGTTGTCTTTCATTCTGTTGATAGTTTCCTTTGCTGTGCAAAAGCTTTTATGTTTGGTTAGGTCCCATTTGTTTATCTTTGCTTTTATTTCTTTTCCTTGGTAAACTGATTTAAGAAAATATTGCTATGATTTATGTCCAAGAAGTTTCACCTATGTTCTCTTCTAGGAATTTATGGTGTCATGTCTTATATTTAGGTCTTTTAACCATTTTGAGTGTATTTCTGTGTATGGTGTGAAGGAGTGTTCTAATTTCATTGATTTATATGAGGATGTTCAGCTTTTCCAACACCACTTGCTGAAGAGAATGTCTTTTCTCCATTGTATATTCTTACCTCTTTTGTTGTAGATTAACTGACCATAGGTGTTTGGGCTTATTTCTGGGCTCTCTGTTCTGTTCCATTGACCTATATGTCTGTTTTTGTGCCAATACCATGCTGTTTTGATTACTGTAGCTTTGTAGTATTGTCTGAAGTCTGGGAGGTTTACGTAATGACTATAGAATTTTTGGTAAATGAACTTCTCTCATTCCTGATATTGGATTTATGTCTTAACTTTTTTTCTGATTGGTCTGTCTAGAGGTTTATCAGTGTTACTGATCTCAACCAGCTTTTGATTATATAGATTTTTTCTACATTTTTTCTCTTTTAATGATTTATACTCTGATATTTATTATTTATTTTCTCCTACTTACTTTGGGTTTATTTATTTTTTCTTCTTTTACTAGTTTCGTAATGTGAGGGTTGAGATTATTGGTTTTATGTATATCTTATTTTCTAGTATAGGTATTTAGTGCTCTAAATTTCCTTCTAAGTAGTGGTCTTCCACCAATTTTGATATGTTTTGTTTTACTTCCCTTCAATTCAAATTACTTTCTGATTTCCATTTTGGTTTCTTCTTTGATCCTTGGATATTTTAGATGTATATACCTACACCAAATTTGGGGATTTTTGCAGTTACCAAATTTAATTTCACAGTGGTCAGAGAATATATTTTGTAAAACTTGAATCCTTTTGAATTGATTGAAACCTGTTTTATGGTAGAATGTGGCCTATTTTCATAAATATTCTATTTGCACTAGAAAAGAATATATATTCTGCTGTTGTTGGTTGGAGTTATGTCAATATGAACAATTAGGTCAAGTTGACTGATAATGTTATTCAGGTCATCCATATTCTTGCTGATTTTCTGCCCACTTGTCTATGAATTATTGAGAGGTGGATGTAGAAATCTCTGATTAAGACTGTGGATTTGTCTATTTATCTTTGCAATTCTATGATTTTTTGCTTTACATATTTCAAAATTTTGTTACTAGGGTACATAAATATTTAGGGTTACTATTTCCTCTAGAAGAGTTAACACCTTTATCATTATGAAGTACCCTTCCCTATCCATAGTAATATTCTTGCTCTGAAAACTAATTTCATCTTAATGTAGCAATTCCAGCTTTCTGTTAGTGTGGTATATTTTTATCATCCTTTTACTTTTAACCTTTTTGTGTCTTTATATTTAAAGTGCATTTCTTGCAAATAGCTTATAGTTGGGTCTTGCTTTTTTATCCAATCTACTAATCTGTCTTTTAATTGATATGTTTAGATCATTGATATTTAACTTGATTAGTGATATGGTTGAATTTAAGTGTATCATCATGTCACATTTTCTAATTGTGACTTTAGTTATAATTATATCACTAAATTCAAGTGATATTATACCACTTAACATAAAGTATAAGAATTTTAAAGTAGTATAACTCTATTTCTCAACTCCTGGCCTAGGTGTCTTCCCCTGAGACTCCTGAATTAGAGCCAGGTGACCCTCCTCTAGGCTCCTGGCAGGCACCACCTCCTGTGAGAGAACACATCCCACATGGTAATGTCTTTGCCTGCTTGTAATATTTATACGGCAACCACAAGTAATGCCACAAGTGGGTGGTTGAGAAGCTTGGAAAGATAGGGGCTGGAGGTAATCAGAGAAGTAGAGATGAGACATCTGATGATGTGTCCTGGTCAGGGCTAGTCAGGCAAAGCAAGAGCTAAAACTTATACAGTGGGATCAGAGCTCACAATGGCACTCACAATTTGAGGATCTTGAGTCTTCCCTAAAGATCTTTGCAGGTCATGGGGAACAATGGGCTATTTGAAAGAAGGAAACTATCTATCTATCTATCATCTGTTTTCTTAGGTGGATCAGCCTAGATAGGTAGAAGATAGGTAAATAGGAACATAGATTCCTTGTTTCCATATATCTAACTGTATTTATCTATAGATAGATAAATAGATATATAGTTTCTATAGATGATAGATAGATAGATAGATAGATAGATAGATAGGGCAAACAGTGTTTTATGATTAACCAGGGACCAACCAGGGTTGGGTTGTCAGGAAGTGGCTTCAGTCAAAGGTTACTGAGGAGCAGCAATCAGAATTAGGCAAATGTGAGGAGATGAAGCCTGGATAAGCTGGTGACCTGAGTCAGGAACAGGTGGATCCTGCAAGACCCACACCATCATATCCTGAACTGCTCTTGTGGCCTAGTACAGCCTTAGCTCGTGTTCATTTATGATGTATCTTATTTCTCTGTCTAGCTTGTTGGAGGCCTGTCGTATAACTTGTCAATTTATTCTTCTCCTTTAACATCTAGCATGGTGTCTGGCACCTATTACATGTTCAGTGCAGAAATGTAGAGGAGAATGACATTGATAAGACCAAAATGACATTTCAGGTTCATGTACCTGGAAGATTAATGATGTCATATAAGAACTAAGACAGTGAGGGAAGAGAGAGTTCTGTGGGGGAAGATGGAATGTTTATCTGTGAATCTTGTAGCACAAGGTTCAGAGGGCAATACCAGGTAGCTGATTGGGTTCACTGTCTTAGAGCTCAGCAGAGACAGGGTGGGTAAATGGCAGAGGAGGTACAGAGGAAGCTTGGGAGCCGAGGAGTGGGTGCTTGGCTAAACTGAGCTCTGGGTGCAGGCAGTGGACTCCCTTCTCTTGGACAAAATCGCTCTCAACCAAAATTTCCCATGATCGGTGATATATTTATTTCGTCCACAACTAGAAAAATGAAAGTGCACTACTTGAGCATTAACCCATGGGTTGATCTGAGGAGAGTAGCCTGTCCTGTTTGATTTGATGGGCTAGAAGGTGGCAAGGCTCTGGGTGTGCGTGAGGGGCTGAAGGTGACGCTGGAGAAGACACCTGTGGAAAGGAGCCCTGGGGACCTGGAAGGCCAGATTCACAGTTTCTGCTTCTCCAAACACAGAGGTGGGGAGGCTCCCACAGGCTGGCCTGGGAGCTGAGCTGAGCAATGCTCCTGTGTAGCTCTTTAAAGTTGGTCAGCTGCTTGAGAGAGTGGCAGTCACTAGTATGGCTTGAAAGAATGGCTAGAAAATCTCTGATACTTTAGGGATGGGCTTTGAATGATATCCATTGTATAATTAAGTTCAGAGCATTGGATGAAATAATGGCACTCTCTGCACCTTCTCTGAAGCTGCTGCACCATCTTGTCCCCCCATTCCTGTCCCAGTGCGGCATTTGTGTGTGTGTGTGTGTTCAGTATTTCAGAAGCCTAATTCATGTTTTTATCCTCTTCCTCCTTTTTATATTATCATATCCTCACAGGTTGTTTAATGAGGTGTGAATTATGTTTACTGAGGGAATTATGGATCTGTTTCTCTGTAGAGGCTTTCAGGTTATACCCAAGTTTCTTCTGTTTTAGCAAGCTACAAAGAATCAATATGTACTGAATGGAAGTACTTTACTTATCTTCATTCTAAAAAGTTTTCATCTTTGAAAGGCTGACCCTTTAGAGAAAACCATGGTGGCATTTTCCTTGTCATTGAGCCCAGGCATGTGCACTGCTTCACAGGTCTTGGGAGAATTGCCCTGCCTTGACTCTGCTCTGAGCTAGTGTCAACTGACCTAATCCTGCTTGAAAGTGTGTGTTCTTTTAATATCATCTTGAATTTTTAAGATATGTAGTATAGTGCACTGTACATGAGAGGTGATTAATGAAAATACTGTGCTTCCTTATATTCTTTTAGTGGATATTTTGAGAAATTTTTGTAGTATCTTTAACAGTAAACTAGAGGTTAAAAGTAAAATTTCATAAGATATTCCAGTATTTTAGGAGCCAATAAATTAGCAATTCATTTTTCTCTTCTCTATCAGAAGAGGTTTAAATTCATTGATGGGTGAAAATTTGCCTCATTCTTTTAATTTCAGAAGTGCATAAAGTTGTCTACATTTCTCTCCTTTGTGTCCTTTCATAGACGCAAGCTCAACTTGGGGGCCTGGTCATGAGGGAGGGCTCTCCCCATCTCCTGCTATTACCAAATGCCCTACTGGGGAGACCAGGCACCACCTACTACACTTGTATTTCTGATGTGTATTAGATCTGTTTCAAAGATTAGGCAATGTCTGGATTTTGAACTGAGATCTGAACTACTGGCTCCAAGAAGTAATTTCTTGGGAGGGAAAAAGTTTATTGGGTGCTTTCATATGCCTATTCAAGAATTTATTCTTCACCCAAAGAGTTGAAATTATCTTTACATCTACTGTAATTTTTAAGAGTCAGCTTTGTCTTCTGGTTCTCTCATAATAACATGAAAGCTAAGAAGCCACTGCTTTGGTTTGGCCCTTGGAGATCTGCATCACGGGTGTGTGTTTTCTGTTCTTGGAGGGTGCTGAGGGGAGTAGGTGCTGATGTCTGAGACTGCAGGAGAATGAAGCCTCGACTTTCCTTGCCTGCAGAACTGAAGCATGAGATCCATGTCTGGCGCCTTACTGCACAGCACATCAGCCCAGCCAGCCGTGAGGAGACAGCAGTTCGAGGTCTACTCCTGGGGAAGGTGCTGGCACTGGAGCGCTTGCTGGCCCGAAGGTTGCACAGCTTCCACAGGTATCAAGCCAGGCCCTGCTCAGATCACTCTTGGTTTACAGCAGTGGTTCTTACCTTTACCAGTTATACTCAATGGTTGGATTGTATCAACAACCTATTTATGACCACCTTAAGAGTGTCCAAATGTCATGTGTAAAATGTGAGCTAAAGTGATTGTGAAGAATACCCCATGGTACGGCGAAAGAGTAACACTAGCTGCATGCTACTAAGTAAGTTTTGGGTGCCATACACTGTACTAAACCTGTTATGATGCAGCATTTTATTTAACCCTCACTTAGATCTCTGGAATGTGTGCTGATATTAGCCCCAGCTTAAGGGAGAAAACTGTGAGGCTCAGAGAATTTGAGCAACTTGCCCAGGGTTATGAAAGAGTGATGCCAGGGATTGACTTCACACTCAACTACTGCCTGTCACACTTCACACCTAACACATTGCATAATAAAAATTAAAAAAATATATAACAAACTAATCTAAAAAAATATTCTCCCAGTAGTTTATTTTCCAGGAGCTCAAAGAATACCTAATTCCTGCTCAATTCATTTCTTGGAGTTTTTGGGGTTTTTTTTTGCCACCTTATGACATGTGGGAAATTAGTTCCCTGACTAGGGATTGAACCAGGGCCCCCTGCATTGGAAGCACAGAATCTTAATCACTGGACAACCAGAGAAGTCCCTTGAGTTTGTTTTTAATCAAAGCTGAGACCTAACAGTAACAGTGAGGTGCTGAGTTTTTCCTCCCCGCTCGGAGGAGGTGCTGAGTTCCAACCTGTCTTTACACTGGAAGTACTGACAGAAAGAGTGAGAGCCTGCTCACTCCTCAGGGATGTGGAAGGATTCTTGCAGTAGGGTTGAGAAGTGGGTGGAGATGTGAAGTCTGTCACGGCAAGGGGAAATGTGAGTCCTTGTGAAGGTAGTGAGAATGATCTTACATATTGCGGTTTGCTGAGACCAGCCCTGTGTTACCAGAGAGCAGGCAAGCAGACTGAGGACAGGAGCTGGGCACAGTGCCAGTGCCAACCTCTGAGGGCTGTCTAGTGTGGCTGCAGCCTGGTCTGAGAGTGGGGGGAGAAGGCCACAGGCGAGTATGTAGAGACTCACTCTGTCTAGAGATGCATCCCAGTGTGAAGCACTGTCTCAGCATCCTCAGCTCCATCTCATCTCAAGACCTACCTGTATCCTGTGACGCTGGAGAAGCAGGACCTGGTACCCCCAAGCTACTGGAAGGCCCTGAGTTACAGGCTGGGGACAGAGTGAACAACTTCAACAACAGGCATGGATCTTAAAAGGAAAAACTTTGTAAATTAAAGATGCAGGAGTAAATTGCCCTGAATATATTTAATCTACTGGCCTTCAAGTTTCAACGTGTTCCATCTGGTATGGATGTTAAGACACAGCCAGTGTATCTCAGGGTTAAAATGTGAAGAATTCACCAAGTGTCCATCAACTCATCCTGTTTTGATCACAGAAAGGGAAACTGAGGCCCAGAGAGGGCAGTGGCTTTGTAAGCCCACACAGTCACTGGAAGCAGATAGGAATGAGGGTGATCTAAGGCATGTGATAACTCTTCAGGTCTTGTTTCTACATTTTATTTTTAAAAATTGTCCTTAGAACCATTCAGTTGGGTCTGCTGTGATTTCCTTTAGGGTCTGTACTGGCTGTGTGGTCGACCTCCACTGACACTATGACACGTGAGTGCTCATGAAGACTAAATTCTACACCACACAACTTCTTTTTCCTAACTGGTGAGGGAGGAAATAAAGCAGAAAAGAAAAGATGAGTTGATAGGAAAGGTTAAAAAAGAACGGCAAGTTGGAACAAATAGAGGTGACAAATGGAAATAGAGATGGGCGGATACCATGACCAGAGGGAGAAGGAAGCAGACATAAGTGCTTCAAAGTTCATTTCCAATTGATCAAAATCACCACTAAAGCAAGTGGCATTTCTTTTACTGTTTTTTTCCTTTAGTTAAATTATAAATATAACACATCCTCATTTTGAAAAAAGATTCAGAAAATTAATAAGTAAAAAGAGGAAAACCAAGGTGGCTTACTGTCTCATTCCCCTGTTGACATTCTGGCCAGTGTTCTTCTCACGTTTCCTGTGCTATGCTCGCACATGCCTCGTTGAACAGTCCGGTCATTTCATGTATTACTTTCCCTTGGGAATCTAGAGTGAGCATCTTTTCCAACTCATGAACCCAGTTCTATCGGGCTTCTTACACCACGAGGCCTGCCCCATTCTGTGGCCGCACCTGGTGTCACACTGTGGATGGCGTCCAGGCCAGGGGACCATGCTGTGTGCCATTGCTGAATGCCACCTTGCTGGCCTCACTGCTTGATGCCACCAGGAAAATGATGTCTTTCCTTTTTTCTTTTAGACAGATCTCACAGGAAGATAAAAATTGGGAGACCAATATCCAGGAGCTACAAAGAAAGGTATTGTGGTTTCTTTTCTCAGGGATTTTTTTCCCCCTGTACGCAGGGCTGTCACTGTTGTGGCCTCTCCCGTTGTGGAGCACAGGCTCCGGACGCACAGACTCAGCGGCCATGGCTCACAGGCCCAGCCGCTCCATGGCATGTGGGATCTTCCCGGACTGGGGCACAAACCCGTGTCCCCTGCATCGGCAGGCAGACTCTCAACCACTGCACGGCCAGGGAAGCCCTCTCAGGGATTTCTTGAAGAACAGAGTAGATTCCTTTTATTTTCTTCATGTGAAGTTGCAATTGAAAGTCATCTTTCTTTTATTCCTGTAGTTGTACACAAGACATAAGTTATTTCCAGGAATTAATGGGAAAGATAATTTTCCAGACATGGTAGGCTTATTCTGTCCAGGAATTTAAAAGGTAAACTTTTTATGTTCCTTTAAAATAAGGCAGCACTTTCTGTGGTTGGCTGGCTCTCAGCTCCCCCTGACCCTGAAAGGTATGTCTATGGTTCCCATTGTGTGGGTGAGAAGATGGAGGCCAAGACAAGGGAGGCATGCTGCTTGAGATGGAACACCTTTTGGGGCAGAGATGGGGTGTATGTCTTCTGTTGTATGGCTCTGACTTTGGGAGGCAAAGCTCATTTTGGGCTCTTTTGCTCACTTTCCCACCTAGGTGGAATTTCTCAGCCCCCGTGAGGACACATAATGCCCCTCTCCCAGCTCAAGATCTGCTGGAAGTCATGTATATCTTCATGAAATTTCAAATCCAGGTAGTTTCTTTCCTAGGGAGAGGTTGAATACCCACTCTCTAATTATGATAGGAACATTTTGTCCTTCGCTAAAGGAAATTTAGACATTGGGACCCGGTAGGTAACCTGTTCTTTGAGTCTGTCCTCCCAGCATATATCCCACTCAGATGGTCAGGGTTAGGGAAGGTGGGTGTGGCTATGACATTTTTCTGGCTTCAGGCTTAAACGGACCCTGCCCACCTTTTCTAGTAGTTCTGGCTGCAAGTTAGGGATGAGACTGTATACTTCTCTGTATACCTGGTGGACAAGGACTGGGGAGCTGGGCACTACCCCTGCATTGTTTCTCAGACTTCTCACCTTGATGACCTCAGATAACCAAAGGATAAAATTTGACAGACACCCCAAAATAACAAAGTACAAACTTTGATCATCTTATACCAGCCGAGCGACACTGGAATACTCTTTGACCTCCCTGCTCCCTCCATTTCCAATCCTGGAGTCGACCATGGTAATACACAGTTTCTGTGGTTAACCTGGCCCAGGGAGGTACCATGCCCCTTTCTTCCTGATTCTCCATCACAGACTCATCTAGCAAAATTGGCTTCCTTAGTGGGGGAAGGGCAAGATGAGTGGGGGCCGGCCAAGCCTTGGCAGTGGGTGGGGAAGGAAAACAGGAGGTCCCAAAGCAGCCCCCATGGCGAGTGAGCAGGGGGCGAGGGGCTGCTGCCAGAGTCATTGTGACACAGAGGGATATGCTTGTGGGTTTTATGGCAGCAGCTTTAACTGTGTGACCAGAGAAATCAAGAGAGAATACTTATCTCTAACTCTACCTATACCTACACCCATACTCATGTCTGTGTCTATGTCCATGTCTATACCCCTGTCTATACCCTTATCTATATCTACATCTATCTCTATGTCTACATCTATATCTTTATCTACACCCATATCTTACCCATAGCTCTGTCTATATCTACCCATACCTACACCTGGATCTATATTTATATAGCCTTATCAATATTTACATCTAGACCTGGATATCCTAGGCATAGACTAACAGACAGAGGTGCTAGTGGGATCACACTGAGGAAAGGACATAGTGCAGTTGTTGGTTCACACTGTGGAGTGTGATTCACACAGGGGCCTAGTTAGATGTGTGTGTTTCTTGGGACCTCACTCCCTGCCCCAGTCCCACACAGCACAGCACCCTTTGGGGACCTTGCCCTATCTTGCCCTGTGGCTCAGGCCCACTGGAAGGAGGTCTGCAACTCCAAGGTTAATGAAGGTGCTGCAGAGTACCTCCCCTCGCCCCCTGAATGTCTGGGGCAGGATCCCATATGTGTCATCTGGTGACTAGGGGACTGCTAAGTGCATTCAGTGGAAGTCCTGTTATTGCAAGAACATTTTAACCTCAGTACCACATGAGCAGAGATTTGCATAATAGAGGGAAAGTTAAACTAAAAGGTTATTAACACACAGTACCCGTGGAAATGCATGTGTCTTGAAGGGCCAGGTCCCTGGAGGTTAATATGTTGGCTTCACAATGGCTTTATTTTATCTGATGCTGGCAGTGGGGCTGGGAACAGCTTAGCATCTCTGTATCATATTGAAAATGTATTTAGTCAGGTGTCATATAAAAGGATTGTACTGGGCTTCCCTGGTGGTGCAGTGGTTGAGAGTCCGCCTGCCGA